CCACAAATTACTTAAAACTTCTACTAAATTCTTCCATAGATACAAAGATTTGGTTTGGAAGTTTGGTTGTACCTGTAGAAAACTTATTTCAAACGAGAGAGCACATCATATTTTTTACGGAGATGTTGTTTACCGAGTTTGAACTAGCTGTCAGTAACTGCGAGTCCTCTGAGATATGTACTTTGTGTTTTTGTTGTTTTCGGGATGTATATAAATACCCCGCCACGTCCGGTCTGTGTTTTTGTTAAATGTTTTTCTGCTTTGTATTGATCTGATGAGTTAAGCCCTTTTCAACTGATTTTTATAATTTGTTCTTATGTTGTACTGTTACACCACTTGCCCAGGTCAAAGGGATGGTTGGCGCTTTCGAACAAGTTTAACCCCGCCACGATCTGTTTGAGCCAAGAGCATGTAATTAAGTGTATGTCGTTTGTTGCTGTATATCATATCTGTTTTTCGTTCATTATTTTGTGAATAAATTACGTCTGTTTTCTCGGTTAAATTGTTTTAAATTTGTCATTTCGGGGCCTTTTAAAGCTGACTATGCGGTATGGATTTTGCCGTACGGTGACCTATAGCTGATAACTTCTATGTCATTTGGTCTCTTGTGGAGAGTAGTCTAATTGGCAATCATACTTATATTTTTTGTTATCCAGTTTTAAATCAGGACATTGTCGTGGTATTATTTGATGTCAGTTAATAATTTGATAAAAACTAGATATTTGTAATTATCTGAAATCTCATTTTTTTTCATATGTGTCATAAAGAAAGAATACAGCATGTATTGTTAGCTTGTCATGATAGCCAAAAAAAATAATATCAAAACATATAAAAATAAGGAGATGTGGTATGACTGCGAATGAGACAACTATCTACCAAGTTCAAATAAAGTGCATGTAAGCAATTATAGGCAACCGTATATACCTTTAACATTGTCACAAAGGATGCTAAAGTGACAGGATGACTCCTCTGATATATATTTTAAGTGTATTGTTCATGCAATAAATGTATATAACGGACAACAATATCAGACAAAATAAACGACCAGACCATCTACAAACATACGTCTCCACTAAATAAAAACACACAGGTATACAGAAAGAAAGGATAGCAAAAAAAAAAAAAAAATAACAAAATATATAAAAATAAGGAGATGTGGTATGATTTCCAATGAGACAACTATCCACAAAAGTTCAAATAAAGTAGATGTTAGCAATTATAGGCAACCACATCTTCTTTTTTATACCACATGATCTAGATCGTTTTAACGTATATAGTTAGTTTTAACCGAAAGAAAAGATATAACAAATGGTTAAACCAGTGATCTTTGACACAGGTGTTTCATGAGAAGTGTATCATTCCGTCATCAATGTGCTTCAAATAACAAACAAACAAAAGCAAAAACACTGATAAAGTCCCACTAAATTCTGTCACAAAGTCTGGTTATCTCGATCATTTGTTGTTCGTTTCATTTCTTTCTGTATACCTTTGTTTTTTATTTAGTGGAGACGTATGTTTGTAGATGGTCTGGTCGTTTATTTTGGCTAATATGGTTGTCCATAGAACAATAAACATTAAATACATATCAGAGGCGTCATCTTGTCTAACTAGCATCCTTTGTGATAAAATTAAAGGTATTTTGAATTGTTATCATACAAGTCACATGTTTTTTTTTCTGTTTCCTTTTTTGACAAACACGTTTTTGATGCGTTACTTTCGAAACGACAATGAAAAAAACCAGATATTTTTGATATTTAGGTTCATCAATATAATTTAGCTGTTTGTTGAATATGTTGTTAATCTATACTGCATACACACATTGAATTTAAATTTGACAAAATATGGAGCCTGCTTTCTGTGTTAATAATAACTACTAGATACTAATAAAAAAGGTCACAATACAAAATATTAATGAGATTCAGAGTTATTGTAAAAACTAAAAATATGTTGGTGACTTGAAATCAAACGCGTTCAATTGCAATAAGTTAACATTACTAATGAGTGCAAACAACTTTTACATCGTGTATTAGTTCAAGTGCTGTTTCCGTGGCCTTTTGAATGACAATCAAGTACATGTAAGTGGTGTTATTAAACTCTTAAACATCATATATTATTGGTCCTACTAATCATATGTCCCTTTTTATTCTCAGATCGATGTAATTTTTCTAATCCTATTTAAATATATATATATATATATATATATATACGAGTCTAAATTGAAAACAACGTTCAAACCTATGATTGCGTTGGATAAAAACCGCAATTTTTATACGTGTGCATGTGAAACAAATTTCTTGGTAGAGGGGGTCTAAATACAGCACAAACAACATTTTCCAAAAGACCTATGATTGCGTTGGATAAAAACCGCAATTTTTATACGTGTGCATGTGAAACAAATTTTTTGGTAGAGGGGGTCTAAATACAGCACAAACAACATTTTCCAAAAGACCAAAAAAGTGAAAGTATATTTTAACAAAACGCATTTGAATAACAGGTCGAACAACTGGTGTTCTTAAACCCTGCTGACTGCCATTGACGATTACCAAATAAATTGATCACCAGATGTAACATGGATCTTATATTTAATTTAATACAAAACAGAAAACAATAAACTTGCGGAGAAGATATTATACCGCAAACATGAGCTGCAAACATTTGTACACCATATTCGGATTTCGACAATTAATGTCTCTTCAGTGATGTTAGGGATCGAAACGGTATTTGGAAGGCCATATAATTTACCTCAATTTATGATAGACTCCTGAATTTTAAAGAGTCGAAATAGGATGAACGGATCATATAAACCCGAAAGAAAATATAATACAAGCCCAAACGAAAAAAATATATACAGGTATAAATTGAAAACAACGTTCAAACCTATGATTGCGTTGGATAAAAACTGCAATTTTTATACGTGTGCATGCAAAATAAATTTCTTGATAGAGGGGTCGAAATACAGCACAAACAACATTTTCCAAAAGACCAAAAAAGTGAAAAAGTATATTTTAACAAAACGCATTTGACTAGCCGGTCGAACAACGGATGTTCTTGTACACTGTTGACTGCCATGGCGATTGCCAAATAAACGGATTACCAGATGTAACAAAATGGATCTTAATTATTAATTTAATACCAAACAGAAAACAATAAACTTGCGGAAAAGATGGTATATCGCAAACATGAGGTGTAACAATTAGTACAATATATCTGGATTTTGACAATAAATGTCTCTTCAGTGATGTTAGAGATCGAAACGGTATTTGGAAGGCAAATAAATTTACCTCAATCTAGAATTGACTCTTGAATTTTGATATATATATATATATAAGTACTACTAAACAAATAACAACTCTACGACAGTTCCATCCATTGGATCACCAGTGAAGGTGATTCACGGCTGAAAACACAAACTGTATTAATAATTACTCTAAATATCAGCACAACAATGTTAAATCTGGAAATTTACGTAAGCAATGTTTTTTTCTCCTTCCCTCGCCGAGATTCGAATTCATGCTATTGGAATATCGTGACCACACCGCCTGCACTGTGTCCAGCGCTCTAGACTACTTGGCCACCTAGACTGAACTAAAAATTCAGCTTTCGGTGGCCTGTTGTTACCTTTCCTCGTCAGTAGAATTTAGAGTTGTAACACAGTACATGATATATTAGGCATGAAGATGGAATTGATTGCAGATTAACTAAATTATCTGTCGTAAAGGATCGTTAGATGCAGTCACAGAAATGATTATGTTGATGAGTAAGTCTAAACAAGTGACAACTCTACGACAGATCCATCCATTGGATCACCAGTGAAGGTGATTCACGGCTGAAAACACATATTATATTCATAATTATTCTAAATATCAGCACAATAATTTTAAATCTGCAAATTTGCGGAAGCAAATTTTTGTACTTCTGTGACTGCATCTTACGATCACGAATGACACCGAAAATGTTTTTGAGAGATGGGTGGTAAGTAAGAACATATGGATTCCTTATTTTTTCTTTTTATCTTTGTATGCTTACAGTTTACTCCTAGATATAGTTTCCGGTTTCTGAAAACTTTTTTGAATAATTCTATGTTTATAGCCCTTCTCTTCAAGCCGGTTTCGAGTTGACTTAGTAGTATTTTAGTTGTTTCTGTGTTGGAACATATTCGCTTGACTCTGAGTTCCTGACTGTATCTCTTAGAACAATGGGCAGGATGGCAATTTTTAGGAGACAGGTATTGGTGAGTATCAGTAGGCTTAGAATATAGGTCTGTGGATATAATGCCATCTGTAAGGGAGATGGAAGTATCGAGGAAGGTGATTTTGGATTAAGATCTCTCAGGAGTAAATTTGATACTTTGATGTATGTTGTTGGCAAGAGTGATGAATGTATCACAATTCTCGTCACTTTTATTCCATTTCATATCCACATCATCTATAAATCTAAACCAGGAAAGCGGTTTTTCGATTGAAGATTCAAGGAGTTGTTTTTCTAATTTGCCCATAAATATGTTGGCATATGACGGAGCCATTTTGGTACCCATAGCAGTTCCATTAACTTGTAGATAATGATCTCCATCAAAGGTGAAGTTGTTGTTCTTTAGTACCAGCGTAAGCATTTTGACCAGGCATTCAGTAGGTGGATATTTTACTGGTTTGGAAACCCTAACTTCTTTACATGCATCAATGCCATCCGCATGTTGAATATTCGTGTAGATGGATGTGAAGTCCATAGAGACAAGTGTCGCGTCGGAGGGAAGTGGATTTAAGGCCTGCACTTTTCTAAGATAATCGGTTGTGTCTTTGATATGAGATGGTAAGTCTTCAACATGTTGACGAAGATGAAAGTCAACGAATTCCTAGATTTTTTCCATCGGATGACCGTTCGCTGAAACAATAGGTCTTCCTGGGTTATTGGTGTTATGAATTTTTGGTAAAAGATCAAATCTGCCCGGTTTTGGATTATCTGGTTTCAAATATTCAAAAGTGTTTTCATCGATGAAACCATCGTCATGCATTTCTACCAACATCAGTTATTTCTCTGCTAAAAGATGTTGTAGGATCAGAGTCTAGTTTTCGGTAGAACCTTGTATCGCCGAGTTGTCGTTCAACCTCTTGAATATAGGCATATTTATCCATGACAACAACTGCACTGCCTTTGTCTGCAGCTTTAATGACGATATTGTTGTTTGATCGTAAATTTTTCAGTGCAGTTCGTTCTTCATGGGTAAGATTGTCAAACGGTTTATTGTTTTCTCTGGTAATTCTAATAATGTCCGACTTAAAATTGTCAATAAATGATTCCAAGGTGGTATTTTTGCTCGGTTTAGGGATCCAAGTACTTTTTTTATAAATTTATAGTTATTCTCGTCTTCTGAAATTTCTGAGTCACTATCCGAGCTTCTGTTGTTATTTTCCTTTGACGCGAAATATTCCTTAATGCGGAGACTTCTGGCAAAATTGTCAAGGTCTTTCGACAAATTAGTTTCATTTATAGGGGCAGGTAGAGGACAGACAGTAAGGCCTCTCGACAGAAGAGATGTTTCAGCTTCCGTCAACTGGTGTTTGGAATTGACCACCATATTGGGGGGGGGGGGGGGGGGGGGGGGGTGAATTAGTCTCTTGTGGCCTACGTTCGAAGCATCGTCCTCAAATGGTAAAGAATGATGGATGTAGGTGCCATCCTTGCGGAATTTTCTTTTCTGTCTTTCACTCAAATTTTGGGACTGTATGGTAGTTATGTCCTTAATGCAAGCATTGATAGCATCACAGTTGTCCGATGTGAGATCTTCGTTGCAGCTATTCAAAAGAGTGTTGAATTCGCCAGTAAGAGTTTTCAGATGTTCTTCGCAGTGTTGTTTGAAGAGGATCATTAACCGCGCGCGCTTGGAGCAATGGCAAAGGGTTTGATCCCATTTGCGAAGTAATATGTTGGATAGATTGCCAGGTGTTTGTGGCATGATCTTGATTTGTAATCCGTTGGGAATACTTTCATTATAAACGTAATGAACTAAATTAGGTAAGTGGTGTTCAGTTCTAATTTGTTTTTTGTTTAATAGCTCTAAGTTGTTTAAAATAATCATTGATGTTCATGTTGTAACAGATTTAAACTTAAATTCACTGGAATTATGCGAGTAACATAATACAGGTCATTCAGAGGTAAAATAATATAGACGTCTATACAAAAGTATATATGGGTGAATTGTACCTATTTATTTTTAATAAATACTCATCATGCTTTACTTTTAATTATATTAGAACATCACATTGTAGTACTGAAGATTACAGAAAACATTCTATTTATATTGATTGTACAATTGTAAAAATGCTGTTAGAAGCTATATTATCAATATAGGAACGATAACACCTAGTAACCATATGTTCCGGTTCATTTATCACAAAGTTTCTATAATATACATAGTGCGTTTTCCAAATAGTAAATCAATAGAAAACTTTTATGAGACATTGAATGTAGTTTCCTTTTGTTCAGGTATAACTACATCTTCGCTAGCCAAGGGTTACGATCCACTTCTCTCCTCTCCACCCTTGGCAGATTGAGATAGAATTTTGGAGACACAAGGTAATGATTTTCATTGTTTGCAGTCGAAACTCGCTGCATTCAATCAAAAAAGCCTATAACATGATCACGTGTAAATGTAGAAAGTGTATGTAAACAATTGCCACGTGCTTATTGTGCAACAAGTCTTTACATTCCTAAACATACGACTATATTTATTGACAATTTGAATGTTTTTAATCAACTGATAGAAGTCCTTATGTATGTTTCTTGCACAAATGCATGAATGTCAACGTATATTTTCGTTTCCTGCTTTACCAAGTGTGTAAAATCTAGACGCTACCTTGTTTTTACCTCCAAATTGAAGATTTCAAGTCCTACCATTGGTCAAGAATAATGTATTCGGAATGGGCGTGACTTTAATCTATCGATAGATGTCGCAACATTTTTATTACAAATGTTGGCTTAATCTGCCAAGGGTGGAGAGGAGGGAAGTGGATCGTAACCCGTGGCTAGCGAAGATGGTATAACTATTGATATATTGACATTGTTTTACTGTAGAGGTCTTAACCCATTTAAACTTATAGTGAAACAACACCTACACATACCTCAACCTTACAAACGCCACTACCATAAAACTCCACCCTAACTAAGAATAAGCCCTTACCTTACCATGAATAAAAAATAAATCCTAACCCTTAATTAGTCGGACCTTTATTATCAGAAGACATATTTTCCAGCGGAAACATTTCAGCAAAACTGTATCTTAAACTAGATCAATTCGTTAGGCAGCATTTCAAGTTCATCCTATCTGTATGTGTAAAGTAGTGACTACTGAAGCATGCAGAAAAAAATACCTCCATTACCCATGTAACCTTACACGTGTTTTTATAATTAAATGTTAATCTCACATTTAACGTTATTGCTATCAAGCAAAATAAGTACTATATTAAAATCATTATTATTATCTTCATACTCATGTTACTATTACTATTATTATTATTATTATTATTATTATTATTATTATTATTATTATTATTAATATTATTAGGTCTTTCCACTTTTCCGTGGAAAGACCTATTGGTTTTGTTCTGATTATTATTATTATTTTTTTTTTTCCGCCTAATTTTTTTTCCTTCACTGTTTTTTTGTTTCGCAAGATGTCGCTTAGACATATGGTATATGATATCGAACAGTTAATACGCTTTTGAAACTGACACCGCGTAACCAAAAACTTTTCGATGTAAGAGTTACCTCCCCGAACACTGTTTTTCTTGTTATTACTTATACGTCGTAACCGCATAAGAAACCGACTAATTTATTTTACCAAATAGCTCGTTATATCCTCAGGATGATTTGATTAATTTTGACCGAAGCTATCCGGAGACTCCATATGAGAGTTATTTCCCCTTATGCATTTGATATAAGTGATGTGCATTTGTAACTGAAAAACCATAACGTATAGAGACCTGAGGTCTTTTGATTTGAGGTCCTCTGTCCAAAAAAAAGAAAATAAGGTCAATGTCAAAGGTCAAGGTCATATTCTAAATTTTGATTTTGGCTTATTATCACTTATTTTCAGAGATTGTATAAGATATCGACAAAATATTTTTACAGAATTGTTAGTTGCGACATGTCGTAACACGTAAATTTTAGTTGAAAGGGTACATAGACATTGTATTGGAGTTTTCGCCCCTTTTATATCTAATATTAGCTGTATGGTAATATAACTCATTAACAATATATAGCAGAGACCTAGAGTGTTTTGATTTGAGGCCCTTGTCAATGACCTTGAAATTGGGGTCAAGGTCAAAGTTTGATTTGATGTTCTAGATTTTGACCTTTGCTTTAACTTTTAATGTATGCCAGATAAGCTATGGTACTTTGTGTATTAAGTTGCAAGCCATATGACCTTGAAAAAATCAACCGGAAATGACCTTTTGTAAACCGGAAGTAGCATTTTCTTGTCCATATTAATGTAAAAGTACATAGAACCATATATTTTTGGAATCAGTGTCAAGTAAACTATCAAATGATACCGGAAGTGCCCTTTTTCAAACCGGAAGTAACAAATTATCTCTCTTATTTAAAAAAAATGTATAGAAACCATATATTTCTAAATTCAGCGTATAATAAGCTATCATTTGGCGCTGAAAATTACATTTCTAACCGAGTTTAAATATTTTTCACATCAAAATATATCGTTTCGGGTGGAGAGACCTTCAATTGTTCTCTGAACAATTGGTTTTTAATTATTATTAGTATTGTTTTTATTATTATTATTATTATTATTATTATTATTATTATTATTATTATTATTATTATTAATTATTATAATTGTTATTATTATAATTATTATAACAAGGGTGTACGTATTCATTACTCCATGAACATTTAATATTTGTGAATATTTAGATTAAAGGTATACATTTTAAACTATTGCATCTAAGCCATGAATATTGACAAAAGCAAGTGTATCTTCGCTGATGGTGGATGATTAATGCAAACAAGCGACTATCATTTTCACTTGAAAAATATAATCGTTGCAATTAAATTGTCGTTGTCTTCTGACTTGAAGAAGTCGTTCGTCTAGTTTTGTTTCTCGTATTCATGTGTACTGTTCAGCCGGTTCTTATGCAAGCACTGCGATGGATTTTTACAGAAACTGCGGCTACAACTACCAACAACAATGTAGCAGCTATAATAATAGTGTATAACTGTATGTGTTGAAATATCACATCTTCTTCTGGAAATATAATATTTAAGTATATTAGCAATTGTCAAGTTTGTTTATTGTTTTGAAAACTGCATGTTTCGAAATGACCCTGGTACATGATCGAGGTTTCATGTCCGTATAATATGAATCGAAGGTGTTATATCATATGTGAATATTCATATGTTGTGTTATGTATGTCTGTCTTATGATCTGTTTTTCGGTGTGTTTGATAATATTGTTTTAGTGGCTTTTTTTATAGATTCTACTTTTTCATTGTGTTTATATTTATCAGGATAAATTGACAGTTATATGTTACCTAAGCAGAGCAGAAAGAGGCGACAAACCTGATCCCTCTTCTAAACTCATGTTTTCCTATAATTTTAACCTAAATAACTGTATAAATGTAAGTTGTGTATTGTACCTTCTACTATTCCTATTATTATGTCAAACCCAATGATACAAACTTCTATCAATAATCAATAGTATGAAATTCTTGAATATATCTAAAGAAGGTTCGTTAAGAAGAAAAAAATTGTACATCCCCTATTATACAAAGAGGGAGATGTGGTATGTTACAACTATTCACACGAGACCAGGTGAAGGGAATGTAACACCTATATGTCACCGTACAGCCATCAATGATGAGAGAAAACCATACCGTATAGAAAGCTAAATAAGCCAAACGACCAACTTTGAAACAAAATAAAACGAGAAAACTAACGACCTGATTTATGTACAAAAAAATAAAGATGAACAAATATAACAGCCAACAGCCAAAAACAACCACTTCATTATCATGATTATAGGCTTCTGAATTGCAAATCGCACGAACGGAATTTCGCCTGGTTAAACATATGTATGAGCGATAAACCATCCCGTAACCTTGGACAGTGGTGCAACATCACAGTACACATTAGTAGGAAAAAACTTGACACATTAGATTGACACGCTACACATACAATAAAAGAACATAAAGACAAAGACGTACTCAGAGCTACTCAAATGTCAATTATAACTAATACTTTGCACCATACGATTGAGTCAAAAGGATAATCTGCATCTACGAAAGTATAATTAATACCTGGAAACAAAGAGTCGTCTTTTTTGTCGTCACTTTTTGTATATTGTTTCACACTGGAAACTGAAATATCAAATCCAGGAAAGTATATTTGTAGGACTCGGAGGTGCGATGCTCCTTTCGCTGAAGTGCGATGGTTTGGAATGCCGCTTGAATATTGGGACGTTTTCAAATACAATGTTACTTATAAAAATACAACATGGATCGAAGGCAAGCAAAGAAAGGAATGAAAAAATAAAATGTAACGAACGATTCAAGTCCCGAACAGTTTTGAGCAGAACAGGTGGAGGTTAAAAAAATATGTTAAACCATTTCCGGCAGCAAATCATGGGGAGCAAAGCAGCATAAAGATGAACTTGGTCAGCAAATGTGCTAACAAGTGTTCAAAAGTATGCCGCAAACTTTTTGCACAATAGATTAAATGATTGATTTAGATATAAATTTTGACTTCTCTTCAAGTATGCATCACGTGATTTTGTGTAGACAAATTAATAATAAAACTAATTAAATATTAGCTATGTTTTTGATATATCAAGTTGATATAATGTTGTTTTATTCCCGA